AACAGAGACTTATATCTTTTCCTCTTGCCCTTCTCTAGTCACAGATTATAAAGAAATCATAGCAGCAATGAAGTTACTCCCAGTATCTAAAGGGCACTCTACCTCTAGGTGGGATTAGTCAGAAAGAAGGGAAAAGGAGGCAAGATGGTGAAGAGCTAGGGCTCTAGAATCTAAAAGGGCTGGGTTCAAATCCTGACTCTGCCTGGTCGAGCTGTGTAACCCTGGGAAAGTTACCTAACCTCGCTGAGCCTCAGGTTTTTCTTTATTAAGACGAGGATAATAATAATCGATAAATAATGGTGTCGTGAGAATGAAAAGGGTTACTACATGTTAAGTATTCATATTCTCCATCTTGTAAAGTGATGGGGTTGGACCAGATATTATTTGAGGGTCCTGCCAGTGCTGACACACTATGTTTCAGGGATCCCAAACACAGACTCCCATCAAGCTGCATTTCCCTAGAACTCTGGAGACAGTTCTGCAATGACCACATGCTGAGGACAACTCCACGGGAATCTAAGGCTGACAGCTGCCTTGTCTTTTGCTTACCAATTAGCTGTACTTGTTCTTCTTCCTTGGAGTCTGTCTCCTGCAGATCCTGAAGAAATTTGCTGTTCACCTTGATAATATCATCAATGTTTGAGAACAGGACATCCAGATCTCCCTGTGGCAGCTGGAAGGAACAAAGAAGCCACAGGAAGTCACTGGGAGGTCAGAAAAGTAACTCGATTTTGCAGGCTTTGAAGAACATCCAGAACATTCACACCCACGGGGGCCCATCACTCTTGAGTAGACTGCCCCAGTGGACTTTGACATTTTATAAATCAGGTATTTCTATTATGTTATAAGAAAAGAGGAAGAGATGGGGTGCTTGGCATGGAAAGAAAGTTGAGCTGGGGTTTTATCCTCGTCTGCTGCCAACTATCATTTTTCTTCTCTCAGTTTCCCTAATTGTCATATAAATGTGGGAAGCTGGACTTCTTTCCAGCTCTGACATACTTGGCCCCTACAACCATGACCTTGAGATGTATTCTGAACTCCAGCCCCTATTAACCAGGCTGTACCATTGTTTAAAAGGATGCAAGATATCTATTTATGGACATATATAAGAGATAGATCTGTAGGAAGATAGTTCTAGATGCATGATTAAATGGGAAAAACTATAGAAAAATATCTAGAATATGCTCTTATTTTTGTGAAAATAAGTAGTAATCTATATTGTTTGTCTAATGCCTATGGAAAATAATCCTAATTTCCGGAAAGTAAAATATGAGAGAACTTTTTACCTTTTACATTATCTACTTTAGTATTTCCTTCATTCAAGAAACGCTAATTGAATTCTATTATTTTTTGGTCAAGCACTGGGATATATTGAACTAAACAGTCTTCCTCCTGATGGAGCTTCCAAGCTAGGGGATGTTTGAAATTTTATGTAGAGAACCTGTATAATTTCTGAAATGGGGGGGAGGGGGAGATATAAAATATGAACACTACATTAGAAACCCATCAGAGCGATAACTTCTCCATGTCCCCTCCCCCAAAATAAGACAGAATGTAGGTCATTTTAACCAATCTGTTCTAAACTTGATAAAGGGCTATTTCATCCATTAGTTCACTTCTTTGAGGTGATTATTGCTTTTTCCATTTAGCAGATGAATACACTAAGTTTCCTAGGCATTGCTGAAAGTTTCATAACCAATAAATGGAAGTATGAGGATTACATCCAAGGAACTTCACAACCACCATGCCTTCCCCTCCAATAAGGCTGCCTCAGGAACAGATGTGAGGTGTCGGAACCTGGGACCCACTTTTGCCCCTAGAAAGACAGGCTGTGTGTGGCCCCAACTCAAGTACCTGCTGCAGGCGGCTCCTAATGTCCAAGGCACAGAGCCGGAGTAGGTGCACGTAGGAGACTTCTGTGTCAATCAGCTCCCTGACGGCTAGCCTCTGATGGAGTGACCATCTGTCCTCAGAGACCTGACTTTCCCGGTCTGGACTCCCTGTCCTGGAGGATGGCTCATCAGCCTCACGATCGGCCATGTCAGCAGGTTCTGGGGAAGGCAAACATTCAGCTCATTTCCGGGAGCTCTACTGGGACGTGCTGTCTCTAATCCAAAGACACTATTCATCGAGCAACCGAAAAACATCTTTAGCTCCATTCAGAGTCAAGATGAACTGCGTGTTAGCGTTTGTGGGCAGTAGAACAAAGCTCAGAAAATTGTTGACATTTTAAATTCATTTCCCAGGATTTAGATAATGTGCTTGCCTCGCTTTTCTTCTGTATTTTCCCCAGCTCTTGACCCAGATTTCTTCATCTGGTTCAGCTGAGTCTCTGTCTGTCTCTCTCGTCTGTCTCTCTGTCTCTCTCTCTCTACCTTTCTCTCAGAGGTTCTCTCCTATCCCCGCCACTACTCTATTCAGACCTTACTACTTGTCACCTGGGCTATTTCCACAGGCTCCAGGATCATCCTTCCAAATCCAAACCCCTCTCCCACCTGCTCCCGCCCACACCTATTTATCCTGGACATGCTTCCAGTTTAAATTTCCTGAAAGAAAGCTTATGACTGTGGCAATCCCTGCTGTGAGATGCCACCTGCAGCTCCGTGGTGCTGCTCCAACCTCATTTTTCCCTTCACAGCCATATTCCAGTGAGAGTTGCATGCTTTTCTCCATACCTGCATGGTCACTTCCTGCCTCTGTGCTTTTGCACCTGCTGTGCCCCTCCCATGTCTCTATCCTCCAACATTCCTCTCCTTTAAGGCCTTACCTGATCCTCCCAGCCAGATACGCTTTTCTTCTTTAACTCTAAGTTTAAAAAGTACAAATGGCCATACTGTGGACAAGATGGCCTGAAAAACTTCCCTGCTGAAAAACACCTAGAAATGCTGGATCAGCTGTAACAAACTTCCTTTTCACTGCAAGGCAGGGCTTGCAAGAGAGTAAAGGAAATCAGGGCACTGAAAACAGAGGGAACCGAAAACCAGAGCAGGAGCAGCTGAGCTGATGCAGCTGTGGCCCAAGCGGATCCGTTGGACAGCGAAGAGGGCATTGCCAAGCGTGGTGACCCAGGGACTTGGGAGCTAGCGCCAGACAGGATCAGGAGACAAGCGCCTTCCTAGAACTGGGACGCCGAGGACTCTGGTGAAGTGGCAGATCAGAAAAAAACATCTCTCCACCCACACAGAAGATGACAAGTCGTTTCTCCATCTTGGCTCGGGTCCTGAGTGAGGGAAAGTCTCCTCTGAAAATTCCTAACCACAGTCCTGCCTTCACTAAGCTTCAAGTTCTAATTGATATGGGAGAGGGACTGAGGAAATCCCCAGGGAATCCTAGGTTTGGCTGTTGGCAATAGGCAGACAGTAAACAGTCCGGACTAGAGTCAGAAGGTACTAGAAGGTCTTGATAACAGACTTATTAAATAGGTAGAGGATATGGTGTTTATTTTGCCGTAATGACACAGATAATATATATACAAAACTAAGACACAAAATAATTGTTATAACAATTTTTTTATAACAAAAAATATAGGTTACTACCTGGCTCAGCTATAAATAGAATTAACACACATAATAATGCAAGTGACCTAATTAACATTATGTATAACTATATTGAGAGGATAGGAGAGGGAAAAGCTGTACATATGTGATAGGAGAGTAGAAAAAATTAGCTAAATCCCCATTTTCCATAGTGGAAAGTCAAAGAACAATGCCTAAACTGAAAGCTCAGCAAGTGGCAGTACATGCATGCTATTTAAAGACATGGAGGTAAATACTAAAATAATCAGCTGAAGATGACAGAAAAAATTACCTCGTAGTGACTGGAGCAGGAAGGAATGAGAAGAGAACAGGCTGTTTTGCATAATAAACATCGAAGAATTATCTGTCTCTGTTTCTCATAACAAATGCAGAATGATCCATCCCCTTAAGTTATATGCTTTTATAGCTTTGATATGAACTAAAATCTAAATATAAGAAAAAATGAGTTCCTCAGTTTTGCTGGAGATCAATATTCAAAAAAAAAATCATATTCCGATATATGCCAACAATATTTAAAAGTATAATTTAAAGAAAGATAGCAACATAATAATAAAAAGATTTAATAATATAATAAAAATAAATATTCCTTTCTAAATATCTCAATTTAACAAAAGATGTACAAGATGATCTTCATGAAGAAAATTTTAAAACTTTATTGAAATACCTTTAAGAACTAATAAGTAGAGATATACTATGTTCATGGGTAGGGAGAATCAGTATCATAAAGATGAAAATTCTCTTTACGATTCCATACAATTCCAATGAAACTTCCAATAGAGTGTTTTTGGTTTTTTATGTTTTTGTTGTCAGTAGGCCATAATAAAATGATTCCAAAATATATAAGAAAGAGTAAAAGGTTAATAACGGCTAAGGCAATTCTGAAGATGGAGGGACCTCTCCTACCAGATATCTAGATCTCTTTGAAAGCCATAATAATTAAGCAGTATGGTATTGACACGAGAGCAAACAGATCAATGGAACAGATTACAGAGCCCAGAAATAGACCATAGTAAATATGGAAACTTGATATATGACATAGTACCATTACAGGTCACTGGGAAAGGGCTGTCCATGGGATAATTGGCTTCCAATATAGAAAAATAAACAAATGCATTTCCACATCAAACCCCAAATAAACTCCAAATGTATTAAAGGCCTAAATGTTAAAAGTGAAACTCTAAAATTCTTAGAAAACATAGGGAAATATTTTTATGTCCTTTAGATGAGAAGGATTTCTTCAATAAGACATAAAATGTATAAACTCCACAAGAAAAGACTGATAAAGATTGATCAATCTGACTACAATAATATTGAAATGTTCTGTTTGTTAACAATTTTACAATCACAAGGAAAAGAGAGGCCTCAGACCAGCAGATATCTGTAATGAATATAACCTGCAAAAGTATGCAGACTATATAAAGAACTTCTATGAACCATTAAAACAAGGCCATCTAAAAGAAAAATAGACAAAGAATGTTGTTGTAGATGCAATGTTGGGTTCATTTAATGTCAAGTTAACCTTCTCCTATCGGTTGCTGTAATGCTGAAACTGGAGAGCTAAAACAGCTTTTCAAACTCCCTTGCAACAAAGATTCCAAAATGTGTTTTCAGTCTCACCAATCAGATGGTCTCACATGAGCCCCAATTTAGAACGGAGCTAAATAGGAAGAGGCGGGTGCTTGAGGTATCCATTTAGTGGGGCAGGTACTGCATTGTTCTGAAGTCAACACTTTTAGCAAGTCATGGAATCCTGAAGCCAGCAACAAGAACAGTAGTTTTCCAGTTCTCCAGTTTCCTGATTATTACAAAGCATAGCCGCACCATTGGAGGGCCTTTCCTGTAGCACTGCTCTGGGACTCATTCCTAGAGACCCATTCTGTGACCTGCTTTTCCAGCTTCTCCACCAATTTGGTAGGCATCCTAATACCCTCTATTAAATCCCCTTCTGGTTAAAACAGAATGATTTGTGTTATCTCCAACTAAACCCTGATTGACACAACTATGAACATGTATTTCACAAGAGAAGTAATTTAAATGGCTTAATACACAAATGAAAAGACACTCAACTCACTAGTAACTAGGCAAATGTGAATAATTAAAACCACAACAAGATAACCATTTCATGCTCATCAGATTGGCAAAATATAAAAATAAAATGCTGGTGAGATTGTAGGTGAATGAGAAGTCTCGTATACTGATATGATAATATAAATCGTTGCAACCACTCTAAAGAGCAATTTGGTAATCTCTAGAAAAGTTGAAAACGCACACCAAGGAGTTCCACTCCTAAATATATCCTACTTCGAGAAACTTCCACATATACACAAGGAATGCACACAAGAATGTTCACTGCTGCACTTTTGATGATAACATAAAATTAGAAACAACCTAAATGTCCCAAGGAGAGTAGCTAAAGTAACTTGTGGTGTAGCCATGTAATGGAATTCTGAACCATAGTGAAAATGAATAAATTATGTATCTGCGTATCAATATGGATATCCTCAAAAACATTGTAAAGAGGAAAAAAACAAAAACCAAGTCCTAGAAGGGTACATAGGATACTATTTTTTAAAGTTTAAACCATAAAAAACAATGCTAGATATTGTTTAAGATACATAGACCAGTAGCATGGGTATTAAAATTTTGATGGAAGATATTAATAATAAATTCAGGACAACAGTGACCTCTCGAAAAGGTAGCAGAGGATCGGAATTGGGGAGGTATCAAAGGGGACTTACTGGTGTCTGGGGCATTTTTTTTAACTTTTAATTTTGAGTTAATTATAGGCTCACATGCAATTGTAAGAAATAATACATATACCCTTTAACCAATTTTTCTCTCATACGAAACTATGGTACAATATCACAACCAGGAGACTGACATTGATCCTGTCAAGATATAGAACTTTTCATTGGCTTGGCTCCCGCCCCATGCCATCCTTAACCCCTGGCAACAAGGAATCTGTTCTCCATTTCTATAATCTTGTCAGTACAAGAATGTACGTAAATCATAAAGTATGTTTGGGACTCACTTTATTGAATCAGCATAATTCCCTGGAGACTCATGTAAGTTGTTGCATGTATTAGTTTTTATTGCTGAGCATCTGAGATGTCTTATTTATTTAAAAAAAAAAACTGAGGCAAATATGACAAAAATGTTCAAATTAAACAGAGCCAGGCAATAAGGTCACGGGCATTTGTTGCACTGTTTTTTTGTTCTTTTCTGGATGGTTAAAATATTTCCTAATATTTAAAGTGGCACACATCCCATTCAACCTTGTTCTCACATTATTTAGGGCCGTGCCTCATCTTCTTGGCTAGACACTAAGCTCTTAGAGACAACATAAGCACCAATTTATCTTGTTCCTCCTCTGTGCCTCACGATACTGATGATTACTACATGTTTACATACATAAATGGTCCTTTTGCATCTACTAGTAGCAGTAGAAGTTTCTGTCCTGAGTCACAAGCACCGACCCCATGGATCAGATAAATTGTAAACTGAGTGTTTGGAGA